AATTCTAAGGAACTTACCACCATGACAATGTGCAGAGCTGTGCACTGCATATTATGGTACTATTCTGTAACATTAATAGTCATGCATGGTGAGAAGTAGACTTCTGTACATGCAGTAAATATCTACTGTAATTGGATATCTGGAAATGATGGTGCATGATTTGCCTGGAAATCAACAGAAGAGTAGGGAATGCTTTAAATACTGTACATGAGTTGTGGCTACTACCTTTTAGGAAACTAAGATCCATTCCTGAGCTTAAGACAACAGTGATATTTTTGGGTTAATTTTTGTTCCTACGCTGCTATTCTTGTTGTGTGAGAGAAATGCTGAGGAAAAGTTTTCAGCTGTTGCTATGGTTTCTTAGAATTTGTTTTTACCCAGAAAATAGTTGCAAAAAATCAAAGTGTTTGTCATTAAAATTCACATTTTTTTCAAGATAATACTGCACCAACTTAAAAGCATCACATATTATTTACATATATTTCGGGCAATCACAAATATTAGAGAGAAAATCGTGAGTACAGTAGTTCATCTTTAGTTCCTATTGGCCATGTACTGTGTACTCAGAACAGTGTAGAAAGTTCCAGGGAGCAATAGAATCCTAAAGTACAGTCTTCTATTTCTCCCTTATTAAAGTTAATGACCACCTGAGGATATTCACTGATTTACATTAATTTACAGCAGTGACTGTTCCCAATTTTCCCCTTCAATCTCCAGCCTGATCAGGTGAAGAGTTACTGTATTATTCTGCATTTTTCTATTGTTTTAGAATGCCTACTCCTGGGACATTCTATTTGTTCTTCTAACATTTTTGTTATTTGTGCCAAACTTTTGTACACAGCATTTCTATCCATGACTGCATACAAGGATATTACAAGCTCTACTGTGGAACAGATGGTTGGTGCTGAGTTGGGTAGCAAATCAGGATTAGAAGGTGGGCTGAAGCTCAAAAGAGATTGACAAATAACTACCACAGCTGACAACTAGAGATCCATGAGCAGTATTCTGTTGGTAAAAGTCTGCACCTTAGATTGAAAAAGAATGGACTCTTCCAGTACCTTAACACTAACAGATTTGCTATAACATGCTATCAGCCAATTTGTGGCTTTGGCTCTACATTTCTTATACTGAAAGCACAGTGCTGCAATTTAATGCATCACTTTTAACCAGTTTCAACCACACAGTGGTATATATGTGTTGCATTTTGATTTTGGATACTTGCCCTTTCTGTGCCCATGTGCTAAACTGGGAGTTTTGAAAGGCAAGTAGCCTTTTCTAATACTATGCTAAGGACCTGGGGGCACTCTTTTGGCTATCTTCCTCAAATATGCCTGCATTTACTGTAATAATGGATCCATTTCAGTCGGGCTTCAGGCTGTGCCACAGCACGGAAACGACATTGGTCACCCTGCTGGATGATCTACTTTGGGAGGCCGATGGGGTCAAAATGTCCTTGCTGGTCCTCCTTGATATCTCAGCTGCCTTTGATACCACCGACCATGGTATCCTCCTGGAGAGGCTATCCGAGTTGGGGATCGGTGGCCTTGCTTGGCTCCGGTTCTTCTTGGAGAGCCATTCCCAGAGAGTCCAGCTTGGGGAGAATGTATTGGCCCCTCAATTGTGGGGTCCTGCAGGGTTCGATCATCTCCTCAATGCTGTTTGACATCTACATGAGGCCACTGGAAGGGGTCATCCGGGGATGTGGAGTTTCATGTCACCAATATGCTGATGACACCCAGCTCTGCATCTCTTTTCTTCCATCTCCAGTGGATGCCTTTCTGTTCCTTGAGTGATACCTGGAGGCTGTACTACAATGGATGCAGTTGAATGGACTGAGGTTGACCACACAAGCGGAGGTCTTGCGGGTGGGCACTCCCGATGTCAGTGGTTTGGGGAATTCCCTCTCTTTTATGGTGGCGACTCTCACCACAAAGAATGCAGTTCGCAGTCTGGGGGTCCATCTTGACCCGGCACTCACCATGGAGACCCAGGTAGCATCCGTGGTTTGGTCTGCCCACTTACATCTTCGGTGGATCACCCAGCTGCGTCCCTATCTAGAGGCGCGGGCACTCCTCACGTTGGTCCATGCACTCGTAGTCTCAAGAATAGACTACTGTAATGCTCTCTATATGGGGCTTCCTTTGAGACTGATGCGGAGGCTTCAAATGGCCCAGAACATGGCGGGCGGACTATTAAGAGGGGTGAAAAGATTCCACCATATATCCCCCATCCTGGCTGCCTTACACTGGCTACCTATTTGCTTCTGCATCAATTTCAAGGTGCTATTATATACAAAGCCCTAAACAGTTTAGGCCCTCGATACTTGGCAGAGCACCTTCTTCCGCCTAGTTCTGCCCGTATCACCCATTCCAGTCAGGCTGGGCAGCTGAGGGACCTAATGCCAAGAGAGGTCCAAAGGGAGAAAACTAAAAACTGAGCCTTCTCAGCAGTGGTCCCTTGTCTCTTGAACAACTTGCCTGCAGAGATCTGCCTGGCCCCCTCACTAAGGGTCTCTAAGACCAATCTGAAGACGTGGGTATACAGACAGGCCTTCCTTACAGCCATCAACTAGGCTATCCCCCCCCCTTGCATTCTGCTGTTAATTTGGGTTGTAACTTTAGTTCATTTATACCTTCTTGGTTTATTTTTTATATTTTGTTTAAACCATGCAGAGTAGACACGTTCTAGATGGGCAGTATATAAGTTTCATAAAATAAATAAATTATAAGTAGAGCATCTATTTTATGATTCTGCTTGCATGTGTATCTAAAAGTGAAAGTACCACTCCCCTCTACTGTATTTTATTTCTTCACATGGGTGAAGGAGACCACATAGACAATGCTGTTATTTTTTTGTGCATGTTAGGAAAACCACACTACAATTAATAATTTTTGTTCAATAACAGGTAACATCAAGGTAACTAATCTGAATTCTTCCTTAGTACTTTAGAGGAGCATAGAGTATATTGACACAGGGGAGACATTGTCTGTTCTTCAGGCAAAACCCAAAGGTGAAAAAAACGACCTATGACATCTTAAAGACTGTTATATTTTAATGTGAGCTTCCATGGACAAGTCCAGTTCTTCAGACATATCAAGTGAAATACAGCAAAATATGGACTTCACAAGTAAAATATTCATGCTGGCTTTGAGAGTCAGTGCTGTATGTTTGCATCTCACAAGTGCAGTAATTTATGACCTGTTTGTTCAGTTCTTTTGGTTTGTAAATAGACAATTATGCCTGTTCTGTTCACTTGCAGAGAACTGTCAGTGCAAAAGCTCAATTTTCTTAGGCTCACTTTACTTCTGCCAATGCCTATTAAGTGACCTCCAAGCAATCTACTTTTCTATATGACAAATAGCTACATTTTCATGAGGTTCCACCCGTTTAGGTGGGTAGACCTAGTACTATATGCCATTTTCATATGTTCTGGAAAAAAACTTCCTTGGTTTTAGTCTGGGAGAGGTGGGATGGTAGCTGAAGACTGGATGTACACTTGATGCAGATTTTAATTGTTTTTTTTTTTTAGTTAAGTGCTCTCTCTCTCATACACTTGATGCAGATTTTAATTTTTTTTTTAGTTAAGTGCTCTCTCTCTCCATATGTCACCGGGAGCAATACTTACTAAGTAACTGATTTTATCAATAGGGACCAGCTTAAGACATCCAGTAATGATTTTAGAACTTTCATTGGACCTACATCTACCTATTTTGCATGGGCTAAACCAGTGGTTCTTCACCTTTGTTACTCGGATGCTTTTGAACTGCAACATCCAGAAACCCATCAGGACAGCTGGTGGTGAAGGCTTCTGGGAGTTGCAGTCCAAAACTCCTGAGTAACCCAAGGTTAAGAACCAGTGGGCTAAACTATACCATGCTGGATTGGAGTATGCACCTGCATGGTAGAATAGGGCCAAAGCTATAGTCCTGAGTATTTGTTATTGTGTGCCCCACCTGGTTCCCGATAGTTTTCAAAGAATATTATTCTTGCACAGATCTTTTGTTAAGTATTTTGGCAGTGTTTCTTGCAAGGATAGTATGTAGGTCAGCATACTGTATTATCTAATGTAACATCTAGATATTTGGAGGCAAACCAATGATGTAGTCAGATGCCCTTCAAGGAGATAACATAACATTTCCAAGATGTCTGATAATTTCTCAGATGGAAGAAATGTATCTGAATCTTAACAGGGTTGGGTTTAAGTTGATTTTTGTCATAATATACACCGCTGGATGAGGAAGTTGTGGACATTCAGGCAAAAGAACAAAGAAAGCGCAAAGGGTGAGAGAAAGGAGATAATAAATTGGTTTTTATGTCATACAGTAGTGACTGGCGGAACAGGAGCTGAGCTGGACCTACTACTTCCTTAATAATCATCATTGTGTGCCATCAAATCAATTCTGACAGAAGGCAATCCTCTTCAGGGTTTCCCAGGTCGAAGAGTGGTTCCCAACCTCGGATATCTCAGGTGTTCTTGGACTGCAACTCCCACTCCAGGTCGAAGAGTGGTTCCCAACCTCCGATACCTCAGGTGTTCCTGGACTGCAACTCCCACAAACCCCGTGGTGAGGACTCCTGAAAACTGCAGTCCAAGAACACTTGAATTTCCCAAGGTTGGGAACCACTAGAACATACTCCGAAAGGATTTACCATTCCCGTTCTTCTAGCGGATGCCCTGGGATTGTTCAGCTTGCCCAAGGCCGCCCAGATTGGTTCTTCTCCTAGGAGGATCCAGTGGCCTACCGAACTCCCATCTGCTGGTCCACAGCCCGAGACCAAAGCCACTGAGTTAGCCAACCAGTTCTTATCGCCTCCTTGCTGCTGGGTAATTATGCTGGGCCACCGAAAGAGGGGGAGGGGCGCCCCGCCCGCTCGTTGCTAGGCTACGTTTCATATAGATCACAGACATATCAGACGTGAGTCACTTCAGGCTACTGTGACGTTTTTCATAATTCTCAGGTCACAGCCTAGCTGCTTCAGCCTCTATGCCCGAATTCCCCCTCCCTATCTTTTTTTTTACTCCAACCAAATGTAAACCATTCTACTAACCAACAGCAGCAACCCACTTAAGATGGCGCCAAGGCACAGCAGGGATGCTCACGTGACCTAAGGACCCCCCCATCTCTTTCTGTTGCAGCGGCAGGCTTTTTTTTGGGGGGGGAGACAAATCTCGCGACATCTTGAAGTCATCAAGGAGGGAAGGGTACTCGCCAGAATTCTTACGAAACCTGGAGGGGGGGGAGGCAAGTAGAGACAAATCTCGCGTGAACAGAGCCATAAACATTGTATAGGGAAGCCTCGCGATACCATCTAGAGGCCTCCTGGATTGGGAGAGGCCCGCAGCCTGCCTAGTTCTCGCGGTAGCCTTGGGGTGTCTTGGCCCTCCCCCCACCTCTTTAAGCGGAGTGTAGAGTTCTCCCCGCGATATCTTTTGCTGCAAGCAGAGGTGGGGGGAGGGGAGTGAGAGGAGGAAGAAGGGGCGTGGTTTGCGCGCTGAAGTCAGCACGGCGACTGCGAGGGGGCGGAGAAATATATAAAGGCCCGGGCCGTACTGGGGGGGTTTCAGTTAGAGAAGCGATTCCGAGGCGAAACCGAGGAGCTGTGGCAGCCGAGGCTAGTTCTACGTCTGTTGAATCTGAGTTTCTCTACGCGGAGCGGGACATCCCGAGACGATCTCTCGTTATGAGTCATGTGGCAGTGGAAAATGCCCTCGGTCTAGATCAGCAGGTGAGAAGCCACGAGTTATAAAATAGGCCTACAATAGTAGGCTGTTATGCCCCCTTCCGATTTCCCTTTTCCTGGAGCTTCTCCCGGCGATTCTGGCTCTCTTGTTCTCCCCATTTCTCTTCGTAGCGGGTTGTTTTGGTGCTATCCTTTTAGTGGCGTATTTAATTGTGACGCAGTTCCTTTTGTAGAGGCCCTTTTATCGATTTCCCCTTGTGCGTGATCGTTACTAGAGAAAATTTTTCCCATGGGGGAGAGCGGCGGGAATTGAGAAGCTGGGGAAAAGATACAGAGCGGGAGGGAAAAGGAGAAGGGTCGCTCGGAGAAAGTGCCGCCGGGCCGTACGAGGGCCGGTGGGCAGGCCTTGGCCTGCTCTCCGGGCTTTGTGCGGCGCTGGCGGCTGCTCGATCTGCCGGGCCCCCTAGTGGCGGTGGCTGAGAACAGCAGCGGATGGGCAAACAACGGCGGCCCTTGTGCGCATGTCGAAAATATAGTGTGTGTGTGGAGGGGGAGAGGCGGTGGCAGCGCGTGCGCATTTCCCTACGGGGGGGGGAAGGAATCGGGGACGGCAACTGCTCCTAGTCCTCGGTTTTCTCCTCCCCCCCACCCCAGCTCTCCTCTCCGTAGGATGCGCCCGCGCCCCCCCATGTTCCTTTGTTCTCGCGGCTGTGAAGGAGGGCAGGGCAGGATGCTTTCTTCTCCCCCCACAACTTTCCAGTTCCTTTCGCCTTTTATTTTTTTTTCCTTTCCTTCCTCAATCCTAAGGGATTTCCCGCCCTGCGCGTGGCCGTTTTTCGCTTGGCGTTGCTCGGGGCTGACGCAGGCGCGCGCGGGGGTTGGGGGGGGCGCGTTTGTCCTCTGCGGTGCGCGAGAGGCGGCTCCCGAAGTAGGTCACGGAGCCGGCTGGGGGAAGGCGAAAGAGGAGTCGGAGATCACGTGACCCCCGGCGGTGCCGGATTAGCGGCGGCCAATGAGAGCGCGGGCTGCCGCTCGCTGCGGTAGAAGTGGGCCGTAAACAGCCCGGAGGGGGAAGGGGGAGGAGGGGGGAGAGAAGAGCCGGGGCCCCAGCATGCCTTGGCTCAGCGCGCGCGGGGTGGGGGGGGGAACAACCTTTTCCGGTCCTGGAAAGCCTCCTGGTCTTCCGCGCGCTCCGCTTGCCTGCCAGGGTACCTCTTTCTAGACCTAAAATGGCGTCGTGCCTTTTCTCTGCAATCAAAGTAGTGATTTTGTTTTTCAGCCGGCGAAAACTAACCGTCCAACATGCTTTTCAATTATGTTCAAAAACGTCATGAAATATTTTTCTTGGAATAAAGGGTTTGAGGGGTTTTTTTTGTAGGAGGCAGGTTTTTATAAGACTAGATGTTAAATTGGTGAGTTTTAAATGTTGAAAGCATAACAAGCATAACTGTTGTCCAAAAGTAACTGATACAATTTCTGCTACTGGTCACAAGAAGTAATTGATTCTTCCTTCTGTTTTGCTAGTTTGCTGGTCTAGACTTGAATTCCTCAGACTCTCAGAGTGGAGGAGGTACAGCAAGTAGTAAGTATATTTTTCAAAAGTAAATATTTTGTTACAGCTGTAGATTTGACATGGTCTAGTGACACAACAGAAAAGGTTAGCATGTTTGGTGTTTGGAGAAGGAGACAAATTGTACTATGAAAATATTGCTGTGAGAACTTCAGGAGTCATGAATCTAATTGGCATTTGACACAACTGTTACACAGTGGAACTTTTTTAGTTTGCTAGAAAAAAAATTCAGACACTAACTGCTTAAACTAGTTTTGAGGTTAACACATTATCAACTGTAATAAACATGGGATGAGAATATTACAGGCACAGTTGAGTGAATTGGGTTCAATTAAAATGTTATTACTGAGTTGTGGCTAAAATGGAATGTATATGTGTACAAAGTAGCAAAGCAGTAGTGTACCACAGTTGTTAGGGTTTTTAAAATAAAATTTTACCTGTATTGTATAAATGTAATTTACGGATGGGTGAGTGTGTGCAAGTATTGAGTTAATAGGGAGTAGGAGATATGTTTTGTATTTAGTTATGGAGGATTTAGCTAAGATAGGAAGATAACAGATGTTAAGTGCAATAATTTTGTTGGTATGAAATCTTCATGTTACATTTCTGTTCTAAACTAATAAGTGTTCTGTATTTTCAGAAGGACGCTACATTCCTCCTCATTTGAGAAATAGAGAAGCTTCAAAGCAGGGTATGTGCCGTTGGTGCATTAATATTTTAGTTTTGGGAGATCGGTATTTCATTTTAATATTGCCTCACAACTTAGTTGGCAGATTTTCAAGTGCTTGGTGCTTTGGTTCATATAAGTCATGAATTCATTTTTAGAAATAGGAGTAGTGAAGGTAATGGTAGGTGCATAGGTACATTGCACATTAACTTTGGGGTGTATGAAAAGTAATCTTTGCATGGGGTGGGTGGGTGATGGACTGAATTCAGGTTCACTAAACATGAGTAAATGGCTGGTGAGTAGAGAAGAGGTATCTTGGGCCTGATTAGCATAACTCCTTTAGTAATGGTGTGGTTTGCTACAATGGAAACAATGCTGTTTGTCATGAAATAATAGTGGAAAGTACTTTCTAAATTGTTCTATAAGTTTATAGTGAAACTATGAACAACTATAGTTGTCAAGTAAAAGTGTACCTGGTTTTTCAAATCTGAACAAGTGGGAAACTAGAAGAGGTTTTTAGTGTTACTGAATAAAACAAGTGTTGATTGCAAAAAAAACCAAAACTTTCTCTTTTTTGCATGATAGTGGTAAATATGTAGGTGATGGCTTGTCATGCTTTCAGAGGGTTCATATTTTTTATAATAGACTTTTATAGGATAGGGTGGTAAATCATATAAAGTGTTCTGGAAATAGATCTGGGTGTCAACTTCATACTTTGCAAGGTAGTTTAATTTTCTGTCTTAGTGGCCTTACTTTATATATAGTCATATTGGTCTCAATGGTTAAAATTGAACAGTCAGATTGGTTCTGTGGCCTTATCTAAGAGTAACTAAAACATGGCAAGCAATCTGGAATCTTCCAGATGTTTAGAACAGCTTGCATAACCCTAGGTCAGTGATGGCAAACCTATGGCACACATGCCATAAATTGTTGGATCACTACTCCCCCCCCCCCGCCCGCTGCCAAACCTGAGCAGGCGGCTGCAACCGCAGTGCTGGTGTCCGGACAGGCAGGCAGGTCAGGATCCAGAGCAGCTGATGCTGGCGGCAGTGGGAATTTTATTCCAAAATATTTGGAGGTTCAGTTTCTTACAAGGAATTCAGTGGAGGGGGTTGGGGATAATTCTTGCCCTATTATAGTTATCTTTCTTTGTTCTACCGCAAATAGCTTTTCTGAGTAGAACACATGTATTTTATTGAGGTGAGAATTTGGTGATAAAGTGAACCAGTTTAGTAATAGTAACTGGGTAAACCTCAGGAGAGCAGAGAGTACAGGGTTTACTTTTGCATGTGGTTTGCATCTTGTCATTGAAATATACCAAATGGTGGGTCTTGTGACAGAGTATGTTGAACTTATTATTGGATAAGAGAAGTTGCTGCTCATTTGAGGTTCTGATTTCTAAAGTATTTCAGCTGTGTTTTCACATTTTTTATAACTGGAAGCTGGAAACTTAAAATTATATCCTTTAAATTCAGTGTGGGTTTTTTTTGTATACCTCTTGTATACCACAACAATAAAATGAGTCGTGCTCCTGAGTCATGCAGAAGTGTGGTAATACTGCTTAGTATTGATAAGCTTGTCTTATCCCTCACCCTTCTCATGGCAAGTGTGAGAGGAGTTTGTCTTGCAAAGACACAGGAATTACCTTAAAGCAATCCCCAGTTTTGGTGGCCTAATGTTTTTGATGGCAGAACTCATCACTGACCAGATTTAATGGCATATGTATATTGCATTCTCTTGGGGCATCTGAGATGGTACCTTATAAGGGGATTGTGGGAATACAGAACATTATAGTGCTTTGGTTCAAAGATCAGATGCTTGTAGGAATGGGACAATCTTGACAATAATGAGAATTCATTAGCGCTTCTGAGAATGTCCCAACCTGGGAAATAGAGATGTGGATACTGTATACTGCACCAGCTGGACCTAATGGGGGTCCAGCCCCTGGGATCTGACCATCTGCTCATGTGTCCCAGCATCACAGAGGTCCCACTCTTCTGGCCAATGACTCCAGGAGCTCCTCTTGTCTGCCTGCTCGGCTGGCCACTCTCAAGCCCTAGTCCTCCTATCCCTGTGAGCCGATCAGGAAGGCAGCGGAGCTCTTGGTGCCATTAGCAGGAAAAGTGGGATGTTTGTGGCACTGGGACGCATGAGGGGTGGTCTGGGCCTCCTGAGGACCAGCTGTGATAGGGATAGTTGTATTTGTTTATGAACGGGAATATCCCCATCTCTTTTTGTAAGACACCTAAACTCTGTAGAGGTTTTGGCTTAGGGCCATGTCTCCAGATTTTTAAGTCATTCTCCTGTAAATAATGGATAGCCATATTATCACCAGTGGGGAGCTGTTGTGTTTTTTGTAAAAGCTTCATCAGCTGTTAGTTTCATGTTGAAAGTATTCTTTGAGCAAAACATTTTTTTACAGATTGAAGAAATTTCAGAGTATCAATACACTATAATGTTTTAAACGTTTGAATTGAATCATAATGCTGGGAGTGTTCATGACTCTTTTTGCAGCAGGCAGTGCCTATAACTATACAGCAAACTACTATTCCAGTACAACGATGCCGCCACGAAGCTGTAAGTTGGTGTCAGGCTGGAGTGATCTTGCAGTTTGTCATTTGAGAGCATGTGTTTAAGCATACTTCATAGCAGCATCTTGCTATCAACTAACAGTGTGAGCTTTTTCTTTCAGGCAGATTCTCAGGCCTACCTTATTTTCCTGCAGTTTAATATATAGGAAATCCTGAATTCATGAATAAGATAGATTTAAATATTTACCTAGCATGTCTTAGGAAAACACTGTGTAGAAGAAATGGCAGCCTCAGCAGTGGCTTCTGTTTGAGAATTGTACCCAGTAGTCCCGTTTCATATTCAGTTCCACCAAGTATTGGGATCTAGTAGTTAATAAACAAGGTGAAAATCTAATAACATAACATCACAGTAGCTTGCCAAGAGGACGTTCAAAACGTGTCTAGATCTCATTACTACTTCTTAACTAGTTGGCTGTGGCCCACACTTTTCAAATCTTTGTAGCTGTATTGTAATGTCAACATGTAATAATGGTTGGTAGATTAGAGTGGTGGGTGCCGTACTATGTTACAAGCATTAACTTAATATTTGTAGAAACAAACATACTGGAAGAAGAAAAGAATGTAGCATTTTAAAATTTATGGTAAAACACAGTATATTTTTAATGTAACATTCAGGTGTTGTTTTTGCTTTTCCCATAAATAAGTTACCCATAAATGATATTTTCCCCCCTTGTGTATATGCTGGAATCTCCTGTATAATTGCACATGAACATTGTGTGCAGGATCGTTCAAACAGAGTGCATAATACCATGTTCCCCATTCCCCCAGATCTTTGTGTTAAGCTTTTTTAAGTATCCAAAGAGAATCTTAGATTTTTTTTTATTTTTTATTTTTTGCTTTACCTGGTCAGAATTTTGGGTTTGAAACAGTTGAATTTTATGACACTTCAAACAACTAACACGTGCATTATGCTTCTGTGGAGCGCAGCCCTGATATCTAGCATTCTCAAACATTTTTGAAGCCATTGAACTCTCTCTTTGGAATTAAGCAGGGCAGGAGGCTGTCATATAACTTCGCTGACAGTAAACATCACCCCCCTCATGCTACCCCTGTACACTTGCAGTGGATGCTGTTTCCTGCCTCTTCCTCCAGACCAAGAAAGAGATGAACTTTTCCCCCCTCAGCCTTTTGGGGTTTGAGTCTTTTAGTCTCTGATTTGTTATAGATTGCTTGCCCCGGCCTGTAAAAGTGTAACCCATTTAAAGCTCTTACAGAGACTTGGGATTGCACAGTGATGGCACACTTTGGCCTCTAGAACCTGTCATACATTAAAAGCTTAATAAAAATAGCTGTATTATTTGGCTAGAATTTTACACTGCCTTCCCATAGCTAGTCTTGTATTTTTAAGTTGGTTTTTATAAGTAATACGTTTTGGAGTTCAAACAAGTTGCAAAGGTCTGCCTATTAGCAGACTTATATGTAACAGTACCGTAGATAGGTATAAGTTTAATTTTTACTGAGTGCAGCACAAGATCTTGAAGACTGCTTCATGCTGTTTCAGTACCTGTTTTTGGGCCATGCTTTTGCTTACAGCATGATAGTGACAAATGAGTATTGTTGCAGAACACTAATAATACACACAAAAAGTTGCATTAGTTTCCGCAGAAACCCTTTGCTCAGCTAAACGTGTAACTGTCTAAACTAAGTTTTGTAGTTTGTGGCAGCACTAATGCAGCATCTTACAAGTTGGGGCCTGAATTTCTGGTGAACAACTTGGGCCCTATGCCATGCTCCTTTTTTCCTGAGGAAGGTGCCCTTGATATAAATTTCTGGCAGTAAAAATCACATTGATGCCATGGAGCTTGCCAAAACGATTTGCCAGCGCAAGTGACATTTTACCCTTTAATTGTTTAACTTTTTATTCTCTGCCAAAGATTCCCCCAGCTGGGACTCTCGTGGAGGTAATGGCTATATGAATGGATATGATCGTGACAGCCGGATGAATGGCTACGATCGTGATCGTGGTGTGTTTGGATCCAGAGGAGGATCTGGACGTGATGACAGAGGTGGGCGTGGGGATCTGTCACTTTTCATCCAACACTCCTTCAGTGACCAATGCTTCTTCCAGTAGAGATCAAAGTAGTTTTGTTTTAGAAAGCTTAGAACAGGTTACTGCTAGGACTTCCAGTGGAACTTAAGACCCTTTTTTTGCTGCAGTTCCCTCAGATTGAAAGCCTTACTATGGAGCTAGTATTTCTTTCTGTTTGATATTTCAATGGGGGTTTGACTTGGCAGTTACAACTATTATAAAGTACTCCCTCAGAATTCTGGAGACAGAATTCTATACAAATTCTATGCTTGTATGAGTGTCTGAATTATATGGTAGCTTCTAAACTCAGCAGCCTAATTAAGGCAATTTTGCATGTTAAAGAAAACCTATCATTCTTTAGGTCTTTTCACCAATTGCTGTTCCTTTCTGTTTGCTTCACTGTGCAAGGGCATGGCTAGTGGGAGCAGTTTCATTTTCAACAGATGCTCAATTGCCAAGTCAAATTAAAACATTTAATGAGATTGAGACTTGTTAATTTAAGATCACAGTTAAGAATTTAGCGATTACTTTCTGGGGGTTGCCTAATGGGCGTACTCCAGTGCTGTGCCATAGGCACGAAGGTGTGCAGAATCCTCATTGGATGTAACTCGACAGTGTTTTTTTGGATTCACTGCAGCTTGAAAGAAGATCCAACTGTTGCTGTATGTTTGGTATCACTACATGGCTAACTTGAGCCAGGTATTTACAGTCAATTCCACTTTGTGATACTGGCACTATAAGGTTTTTAAGGGCATTCATTACCTTGCATAAAACGTACAGTAAAATATGCGGGGATGATTCTCAAAAGATGGAATGCTACTTTGAAACACTTTCATGGTTGATTCCTTTTAGGTGGTTCTGTGACTTTCCTACAGCGAGATTTTGCATAACCATTTAATGAATATTGCATTGTTTCTAGGATTTGATGGTGGATGGAGTGCTGGCAGAGACAGGGATGCATACAGTAGCTTTGGTGCAAGGAGTGATCGTGGAACAGGAAAATCAAGTTTCTTTGGTGACCGTGGAAATGGCTCAAGAGGAAGGTAAAATTTTTGCTCCTCAGTAAAATAATGAAACACTACTTGGAATTTAATTATTCCAGCATCTAATGCTTCAGCTCATTGTTTAATTCTGATTGATGCTCACTAGAGGGTTAGACTTTGAGTTTAGATAACCATTATAGGAATTCCTTAATAGATGTAGAAAAATACTGATTTTAGTACATTTTAAAATAAATTTTGGATAATTGGATTTGATTCTGAATTAATTTTGCCTCATGGATTTGTTTTTATATGGGCAAGATTTTGTGGTATGAGATTTAGAGCACGGCATATTGCTTTACATGTATCATCAGTTTATGTCTGAGTGTGTACAAACTAAGTGCAGACAAAACATGTTAGTGCTGACCACAAACTAGTCCACTGTGTGTGAGAGAGGGGGGGATAATTTCTCCAACCTAGTTTGCCATAGTAAATTTAAAGAGATCCCACTGGAAAGGGAGGGAAATCATAGACTAACTCAACTGTTCTGTATATTTTTGTGTATTGTACTAGTTATTTGGTAAATAGATAAAAGGAACATGGCAAATGGTTAAAAGTACCATGTTTTTAGGGGATGTGGTGGCACTGGGTTAAACCACAAAAGCCTCAGTGCTGCAAGGTCAGAAGACCAGCCGTTGTAAGATCAAATCCACACAACGGAGTGAGCTCCTGTCGCTTGTCCCCGCTCCTGCCAACCTAGCAGTTTGAAAGCATGTAAAATGCAAGTAAATAAATTAAGTACCACCTTGGTAGGAAGGTAACGTCGTTCTGTGTCTAGTTGCACTAGCCACTTGACCACGGAAACTGTATTCGGACGAACGCTGGTTCTGTGGCTTGGAAACAGGGATGAGCACCGCGCCCTAGAGTTGGACACGACTGGATTAAATGTCAAGGGGAACTATTCCAATCCCTGCTTGTTGCTTTTTTTCAGAAAACTTAAGGGGCAGGTTGGGTCCACATTTTACAAGTGTGTTGGGGAAGGCGAAATTATTTGGTGTAGTTTGCTGTCAAGAAAAATCATTTTCTGACTAACACGTTGAAATCTGTAATGTCTTTATAATATGCCAGTGAATATTTTAGGGTTGCTTAAGATGCAGGCAGTGCTAAGAATGTTACTGCATGTTACTAAATCCATTGTTAAATTCAGCTTTAATATATTCCTGTGGGATGTAGGTTTGATGACCGTGGTGGAAGAGGCAGTGACTTCGATGGTATTAGCAGTCGTAGTGATAGGGGTGGTTTTGGCAGATTCGATCGTGGCGGAAACAGTCGTTGGTCTGATAAAAGTGACGAAGATGACTGGTCCAAACCACTTGCACCAAGTGAGCGTATGGAACAGTAAGTGCAGCCATATATATTTTATAGTTTGTAAATCAGGAATTCAGTGCAGTGTAATAGATATTGAATGTCCTTTTTTAGGGAGCTGTTTGCTGGTGGGAACACTGGCATTAATTTTGAAAAATATGATGACATTCCAGTTGAAGCAACGGGCAACAATTGTCCTCCCCACATTGAAAGTGTAAGTGCTTTCTTTATTTAAATACTGTGTTTAGGTTCTTATACTAGGATGAAAAGAGGATGGTTTTATCTTTGAAGGGGATGTTGTTGATCTGGTGGTCCTCTAAAGCAGTGGTCCCTAACCCTTTCCGAACTGCAGATCGGTTGGTGGGGTGGGGTCCCCCCTACACTCATGAGTGGGTAGTGCATGCTTGTGGGGGTGGGGTGCATGTGTGGGTGGGGGTACGCTTGCATGGGGTGTGGGTGGGGAGATTTGTCTCCATGATCTGGTCCTGCCAAGGCCATGGACCGGCACTGGGCCGCATGCCAGGAGTAGGGGACCCCTGCTCCAAAGGGCTTACCTCTTCTCAGTTATAGAATTCATGATTAGAACAGTGACGAGTTAGAATTGGTGGTGAAACCTTTAATGCAGATTCCTTTTTGCAGTAAATTAATTTACTCTCTTTGGACTGAGATTGATATTTGATGTAGTTTCTAGTTGGTTAAATAGACTGCTCCTTTTCTCTCTTAAAAATGTAAGCAAGAAGATTGGAGAGAAAATGCTTGAACATGCCACAGTGGCAAAACTCACAAGTGATGTAAATAGAAGATCAGTTAAGAGGATTTGAAAAACAGTGGGGAAATTATTTTGACTTTTATAAATAGAGGTATAGAATCTACTTTGCAAAAAGTATTATGTAAAATGAGTAGATTTCCTGTTCTAAAATGTTGTTGTAAATTGAGACACTAAAAACTAAAATTAATCCATGTATGCATGTGTTAAGGGATGAGGGCTTGTACATTATCAGCCTTAGAAATGTTAGATGGAGATAATTACCCCAGGCAACTTACAGAACGAATTTTGCCACGATTCTTTGGTTCTGATAGGAGAGGTGTCACAATAACTTTTTTGTGCTTGTTATAGGTATGGTTGGTGGAGAAGGGAACAGTGCTTGGTTCCTCCATGGGGAGCCCACTATGTTTCTTCACAACCTGTGAAGAGCACTTTTTCCATGTCTAATTCAGAAACAAATGAGACTTTCAGGGTGCTTGGAGCACTCAGTTGTTCCCTCCCAACCCTGCCCCCCCCCACATGCTGGCTATAGATGAGGATAAGCTTCTTTTGAGGCATCACGTCTATCATTAGAACAACAACAACAAAAAAACCCTGGAAGAAGCAGAAAGTTTTTTCCTTCCAGTGTCAGTCAGTTTACCAAAGAACCTTTCAGTAGATTACCTTTTACTTTTAGTAGGTGTTTCTCCATTTCCCACCAGCTCTTTGAAGTGATAGGCAGTTAGTAATATTAGAGCTGATGTACGAGACTATTCTTTAACAACTTCAATTGGTTTTGCAGTTCAGTGATGTTGATATGGGGGAAATCATCATGGGGAACATTGAGCTTACTCGTTACACTCGGCCCACTCCAGTGCAGAAATACGCTATTCCTATCATCAAAGACAAGAGAGACTTGATGGCTTGTGCCCAGACAGGTAAGTCAAATTTGCTGATAGTGCAGTTTTTGAAGCTGCAAGTGGTCTTTACAAAAGGTTCTTGTGAACATGAAGGTAATGAATATTAAAAGATTTACAAATTTTCTGATCAGCCACATTTTTGAAGAGTAATTTCTATTATCAAATACTGTACTGATGTACAGCATACTTGCATACATAAATAATAGTTTTTAAGAGGGCAATCTGCAGCTGAGATGGGGTGTTTTTAAGTGATGAACATCTGTTCTCTAAGTATTAAAGCCTGGATATCACGAGCGTGACATGGTATTGTGTATTAGATATGAAATAAAAATACAGAACTAATTTTTTTCATGGTAACTTGGAATTATAGTGCAGACAGTGGTGGTATCCTGTTTTGCAGGAGGAGTAACATTTGGGGCTAGTTTGAAGGAACAGAAGTGTGTTTTGTTTTCAAGGCGAAAATGTTTTTTTCAGGATCTGGGAAAACAGCTGCATTTCTTCTGCCCATATTGAGTCAGATATATACAGATGGCCCAGGTGATGCCTTGAGAGCTATGAAGGTAAATGTTTGTTTCATGCCATATTGTTTCTGCAATGTATCTGATAAGTATTTCACTTTTGTATTGGATTAAATTCTATTTACAGTTATGCAAACTAACTTTTGGAAGTGAATTGGTGTAATTTAAGAAATCTCTATACATTATCTGTTGCCTTCTGAGTTGTGTAACTTGGTGTGCAATAAGTAATGACCATGGAAGTTTATTAATGGTAATTAGCATCTAGAAGTTACATCATTTGCTTGTATAACAGAATTTCAGCAATTTTCTTCAATGCTAACTTTCAGCTACTGGTAATTCAGATAAAATGGTAGTAGTTCAGTGTGGGATAAACTGGTTTTCAAGAGTGTAAATATAAATGCTCCCATACTAGAAAATTAAAAAACCAATTTCCTTTTGAGAGAAGAGTTGCTGTTTGGAACAGTTAAACAACAGCACAGTAAGAATGGGATAGTGAAATATCAATTGTAGAATATCCTAACTATATCAAGATAAAATAAAAAAAAGATGGAAATAATAGACTGAACTGTATGGAGAAATTTGGAGGATTGATGTTCCTTTGAAGAACATTGTGATAAAGAATATGCAGTTGTAGAAGGTGAAGCGAAATGCAGTTTTAGAGCATTTGGAAGAAATAGAGTAGCTGGTGTACCAATATGGCTGCTTCAGTCTCCAGAGCCTGAGTATATCAAAATCATGACAATACTGACAATAAAAAAGCGAAAATTGACCTCCCAGACTGGACATATTGAGCATACATTCTAATCTCAAAGAAGATAAATAAGATTAATTAATTTTCCAAGTGATTATCAGAATTTTACAGTAAAGAACCTATGTGAAGCAAAAAATATAATGTGAAAATGGGATTAATTACAGCATCTGAGATTATTTTTAAAAGGTATAATAATGGTTTTTGGATAACAAATATTTTCAGGAACATTTGTGCTTTTTAGATTGCTGTAATTTTTCTTTGGATCAGAAAAACTTACTGCAAAAGAAACAGCGCAGTACAGGATTGGATTGGCTGATACATAATGGATAAAATGCTACCTAGGATAGAATAAAGAGGAAGAGGATGGTTTCTATTTGGCAGAACAGTTAGTACAGTAAATTCAAATTTCCCGCCCTTTCCCCCTGCCTTTTTGTGCTGATAGGTCGTAGCTCCGTTTGCAAGTCGAAGCAAAATTTTGCGAATGGACAGGTTCGTAGGTAGGGACATTTGTAAGTCGAAGTTCCACTGTATAGTGTTGTAGGGAAGTTTTGTCAAAAACATGGACTGCCAGAGAGATAAATAAGTTTTAGATAAAATTAAACATGCTCATTTTTAAAGCATTAGTAAAATGATCAAACTGAGCCTGCTGTAAACATGTATTATACTATGTATTCAGAGCATTATAAGATTTACAACACCCCTCGGTAGTTTTGAGTCTCTGATGGTCCTTTACAGCTGACATTTACAGTGGTGCCTTGCTTAACGAGCGTACCGTTTAATGATGAATCCGCATAGCGATCTATTTTTTTGGATTGCTAATGCAATTGCATTGTGATGTTCAGAATAGGCAAAACGTCGCATTGCGATGATCGGTAAGCGTTTCGCTTACCGATCTTCGCATTGCGATTTTTTTAAAACAGCTGATCGGCGGTTCCAAAATGGCCTCCGGGTGCCCAAAATGGGCGCCGCAAGTGTTTTCGTGCCCTGCCCTCGCTTACCGAGGGTGCGAAAATGGCAGCGCTATGGAGGAACTTTGCTGAACGGTGAGTTTGGGAGCCATAGTTTAATGCGTTCCTTTGGCTTTTTCTGCTCCGTTTTAGCGATGTTTCTGCATAGCGATGATTAATCCGGAACGGATTAACGTTGCTATGCGGGGCACCTCTGTATCTCCGAAAGGACTAATTGCAATGTGAAATCAGATAACCTTTTCCAGTCATACCAAAATTTCCTCTGGGTGTCATTTATTTGCTCCTGTTTAGCTTGTCAAAAATGTAGCTTTAGAACTTTTGCAAACTTTATTCATCTATGTTGCTTTGTACTCCCATAAAATGGAATCCAAAGGTTTTGAAAGCACAATCTTACAGCTTCTAAAAAAAGCTAAAGGTGCAAATGCTTAGAAATAAATATGTGAAGATTGGATTTAAGTTGCAGGCAAATACTTAAATTAGAAACATATATTTCCATTACAAGCTTTTAGCTATAAAAGCTATAGACAATAACGTAAATCATATTTTAGGTTTAAAATACAGGAGCTTGTTGCATAATCAAAAAATAGAGTATGTCTCTAAAATGCATTCTTAGAAAGTAATGTTTAGCCTTTGGCAGATCCAAATACTCTTGAGGAGTACTAGGTTTTCTCACTCAGGCCATTGCTTTTGCTAGTTTCCATTTATGCAGGAAAATGCATGATCTCTGTGTTGCTGTCTTGATGGCTTTTTGGCTAAATTATATTAGCTCTTATAAGAATAGGATCTTTGTTGACATATTCCTGCCTACCTTGCAGATTGCATTAATAGCTTCTTGAAAGATAACTTTCCTTACCACAACCCATTCTTAAGGCTGTGTGTTTCATGCTTCATCTATAAAAAAGTCCAACTGTGACATCCCCCTATAGACATACTCTAAGACGCTGGACATGATTATTTTAATAAGGGAAATTTTGTCTTTTACTTTGCAAGATGAGGCGTGTTGGCGTTAGGACCCTTTGGTGGTTGTTAAATTCATAGGGCCACCGTAAATGAAAAGTGAATTGATTTTGCACAGACACTACTTGAAGTACAGTGGTGCCCCGCTTACCGATCGCTCCGTTGAGCGATGAAATCACTTTGCGATGGACTTTTGGCCATCGCTGGAGCGATCACTTAGTGATGTCCTCTATGGCTAAAATTTGCTTTGCGATGATCATGGGGGAGCGATCATGTCAAAGCGAACTTATTTAAACAGCTGATTGGCGGTTCCAAAATGGCTGCCGCAAAAAAATGGCCACCCCTGTTTTGCCTTGCTGTAGAGGCACCCAGAATGGCCGCCACTATGGAGGAAATTCGCTTTAAGGTAAGTTTTTAGCCCATAGGAATGTATTAAACGCATTTTAATATGTTCCTATGGGCTTTTTTAAATGGCTTAGTGATGAAATCACTTAGCGATGTTTTTTCCGGAACGGATTAACATCGCTAAGTTAAGCACCACTGTATCAGTATCAGCTTGTGGACAGGAATCTGATGTACATACAGGCATAGCATGTTCTGTTGAAGTATGGACTACATTGTAATTTTCTTTCTAAAGGGGAAACGGGTGTCATACAAGTTCTGGGGTGGTGGTGGGTAATAGTTTGGGAGGTTGCTCTTGTAGCAGTATACAGTGGTGCCCCGTATAGCGAGCTTAATTCGTTCCGGATTAACCTTCGCTATGCGAAAACATCGCTGTACGGGCAAGGAAAGCCTATTGGAACGCATTAAACTAAGTTTAATGCGTTCCAATAAGTGTCCAAACTTATCCCTCCAGCAATGTTTTCGCGTCCGGCGGCCATTTTGGAGCCGCCGAACAGCTGATCGGTGGCTCCAAAATGGCCGCTGGACGCCCCAATCGTCGCAAAGCGAGCGCGGCGATTGGGGCAGATCCGTATCGCGATCCCCAAAAAGGGATCGCTATACGGATTCTTCGTTAAACGGTGCGCTCGTTAAGCGAGGCACCACTGTAATTTGTTCCAAAAGCTTATGGGCATTTTCCTACTGGAGCAGAAGGACATTCTTCATTGATTTTTCCCTCCCATTTACCTTGATAAACAGATACCAAGGTAAATGAGAGGAATAGCACACAGACTGTAGGGATGTCCTACTCCTGTACAAAAGAAATGTATCATGGCAGATTTCCCCTTTTTTTCTTTTAATGTTGCAGGAGAATGGACGTTATGGACGCCGTAAGCAATACCCAATCTCATTAGTATTGGCTCCCACAAGAGAACTGGCAGTTCAGATATATGAAGAAGCCAGAAAGGTAACTTTTATGTGCTTCTATGTATTTATTGGTTGGATAATTAAGGAGTTCATTCTAAAAGTCTTAATCTTGTTTGTACAGTTTGCATATCGTTCCAGAGTTCGTCCTTGTGTTGTGTATGGTGGAGCTGATATTGGGCAGCAAATACGTGACTTGGAGCGTGGCTGTCACTTGCTTGTGGCAACTCCAGGTCGTCTTGTAGATATGATGGAGAGAGGAAAGATTGGATTAGATTTTTGCAAGTAAGTTAAATGGTTCCAGAAATTTAGATAATCTTACAATCCTTTTGTTTTTGGTTGATGCTAATTCCCATGATACCCTGAAATTCTGATGTCCTCTTTAATATTTTCCAGGTACTTGGTATTGGATGAAGCTGATCGTATGCTTGATATGGGGTTTGAACCACAAATTCGCCGTATTGTTGAACAAGATACTATGCCACCCAAGGGTGTTCGTCAGACTATGATGTTCAGTGCTACTTTTCCAAAGGAAATCCAGGTATTCGATTTTCCAGAGTTGTGTGGTGTTACGATTCCAGGGATATCCAGCAAACTATGGAAGGTAGTGATGGTTAAAGAGTTCATACTTGGTTTTCACAAGTAGGTAGGTAGCCAACATTTTTGGAACAGAAGTAATAATCAGAGTTCCACTTGAGTTGTTGGAAGAACTTAGAATTCACATCTGGTGAGAACTTTACCCCCCTACATTGCGTGCATCCATGTGTGCCTTGTATTCTCAATAAAGTACTTTTTATTTTTATTAGATGCTTGCTCGTGACTTCTTGGAGGAATATATCTTTCTGGCTGTTGGCAGAGTTGGCTCTACATCTGAGAATATCACACAGAAAGTAGTGTGGGTGGAAGAGTCAGACAAACGGTCATTTCTGCTTGACCTCCTTAATGCCACAGGTAAAGACTGTTTGGGAGAATTCCAACACAACTCTAATGGCTCAGGTAATGAGAATCTATGTTAGGTGGAGGAAAAGCTTCAGACTTTTCCTCTTTGTTTTCTCCTATATTTGAATATTTTATTTAAATCTGCATGCAGTTAGCTTGACCAGTAAAGTTGTTGTTGTTGTTGTTGCACCATAGTATTAGATTGTACCACTTGATGGTGCTGTAGCAGGAGGTGTGGTGTTGTTTTTTAATGAACCTGTTTGCTTGTGTAGGCAAAGAATCCTTGACTTTGGTTTTTGTGGAGACAAAAAAGGGGGCTGATTCTTTGGAGGATTTCCTGTACCGTGAAGGATATGCTTGCACAAGTATCCATGGTGATCGCTGTCAGCGAGATAGAGAAGAAGCATTGCACCAGTTCCGCTCAGGCAGAAGCCCAATCTTAGTTGCCACTGCAGTGAGTAAAGCTTTTTTGTGTGTAGAAGTACCTGTGTCACTATAGGCTGAACTTATGGAGACTGATGACTGAACTTTTGTTTTTGTTAGGTAGCAGCCAGAGGACTGGATATTTCAAATGTAAAACATGTAATAAATTTTGATTTGCCAAGTGACATAGAAGAATATGTACATCGAATTGGTCGCACAGGTCGTGTAGGAAATCTAGGTAAGACAGTCCTCATTTAAAACCTTCCCACTGTAGTGGTATTTAAGCCTTCGTGTATATTATATTTAGGAAAATGTCTGGATGTAAATAGTCGTGGTAGAGGCTGATAATTGCTAAGTGTAATGGAGATTCATTGGCCAGTACTCTGTTCATGCTGAAAAAGTTAAGGTGATATGAATGTTACACAGTTAACTGTATGTGCTTTGGGGAGAGCACTCCTGCCTTGGTGGTAGTGCATCTATTCTGCATGAAACCTTAAGCTGCATATGTATAGTTGCACAACAGGATTTCCACTATTGATTTAGGACAGTTATGTGCAGAGGAAACTTTACTTACCACATGTAGAACAAGTGGAGGAAGGAAAAAAATGGGAGATGCCCCTTGTATATCAAAATCAAATTCCTATGGACAGTGATATGTCACCATATGCACACTACTGTGAAAGCGTCTTACATGGACATGCCAAGGAAACTGCCTAATCCAGATTCATAGTGACCAACAATCTTGAACTTTCTTCTACTCCCTCAATTAACAAGGGGCCTTCCAATTTCTCTTCTGTTATTTGCCCCTGGCAGGCATCTGGTGACCAGGTTATTACATTGTTTTGTCTGTATGTAGACAGCTTGAAGTAAATTTGCAAATGGGCAAAATGTCGAGGGTATGTGCTTGCTGTACTACATTTTTGTCCTTGCCCAAAGATGTGATTTTTGTTTAATCTGTTCTTTGTCTCAGGTCTTGCAACATCATTCTTCAATGAGAGGAACATAAATATCACAAAAGACCTGTTAGATCTGCTTGTTGAGGCTAAGCAAGAAGTACCGTCTTGGCTAGAGAACATGGCATATGAGCAGCATCATAAGGGTGGCAGCAGTCGTGGACGCTCTAAAGGGTAATTTTAAAAAAAGCTTGGTTATCTCTAGCTATGTAATACTTCAGTTTTAATTGTTCCCAGTGCCCCAAGAGTATTGCACTTCCTATATATTTAGAACAAAGAGTGAAGTAACTGCTAGCCCATATTCTCATGTTTTGAATAGAGTATGGGATGTTGCAAAGCGAAGTTTTGTGTTTTGATTAGTAAGTTGAAAGCTTAGAAAATGATAGTAAATAGTGCTTTTAAATTGCTCATTGGAAGTCAGCCAAAGCCCTGCTTGGTCTACTACTTACCCTATAACACCAGAGTGAGCATATTGCAGAGTCCAAAACCTAGCAGGATCAATCACCCTGTCAAGGGGAAGATAAAATGTGAGAAGCCCTTTTATTTAAAAAGCCACAGGGGGTGGTAGTGCACCTATTTAAAAGGGTAATAATGGCTCCTGTTTTGCTGTACTGCAAAAAAAGTGTAATGTCTATGCACTGCTCCTGTTTTTATGTTTCTCAGCCGTTTCAGTGGAGGATTTGGTGCCAGAGACTATCGAACAAGCAGCAGCACTAGTAGCAGCAGTTTTGGCAGTAGCCGTGCAAGTAGTGGACGAAGTGGTGGTGGTGGCAGTGGCGGCAGCGGCGGCCATGGAGGTAGCAGAGGATTTGGAGGTGAACCTCTTTTTTTGGTTGTGTTTAGAAGCATGTTGGCTAGATGGGAAGAAGGAAACCAACTTTTTTTTTTTTTTTTTTTTTTTTNTGGTTGTGTGTGTTTAGAAGCATGTTGGCAAGATGGGAAGAAGGAAACCAACCTTTTTTTTTTTTTTTTTTTTTTTACATTCTTAACGTATTTTAAAAGTAAACTGGTCCAGCCATAAACTGTTTCTCTCCTTTTCTTTTCTTGATAGGTGGCTATGGTGGCTTCTACAACAGTGATGGATATGGAGGAAACTATAACTCTCAGGGGGTAGATTGGTGGGGCAACTGATCTGCTTTCCACAGATTCTTACCAAACAAGCTAATATGGAAACCACATGTAACTTAGCCAGACTATACCTTGTGTAGCTTCAAGAACTCGCAGTACATTACCAGCTGTGATTCTCCACTGAATTTTTTTTAAGGGAGCTCAAGGTCACAAGAAGGAAAGGAACAGAAGCCCTACTTTGAAGAAGGTTTAACGACTCCATTGTAGTCAGGATTAACTCCCCTCCCACTCCTACTCCCAGATTGTATTTATAATTTTGTGACTGAGGATCATTTGTTAATGTACTGTGCCTTTAACTTTAGACAACTTTTTATTTTGATGTCCTGTTGGCTCAGTAATGCCCAAGATTATCAATTGTCTTGACAGAATTACTCAACTTGGGCTTTAAAAAAATCAAACCTTGGCACGCAGGTATGATACAACTTACAGGAATCATTGATTCATCCACTTTATACTACAAAAAAAAACTTGTGCGGTGGCCGGCATTAGGGCTTTGATAACTCGGAGATTTAAAAAATAAAACATCTTGAAGCATATCAATGGAATTTATTTCTAATGTGGCAAAACTGTACAAAGTTAAAGTTGATTTGCTCACTCTATCCTGGATAGGTACTTAGAACCTGATAGTCTTTAATAAGCCATTCCAGTCATGATGATGAAGTGATGTATGGATACATGCATACATACAAGTGTTGTTTTAAAAGTTAATGCAAGAAAACAGCAATTCCAGTGTTTAGGCAGATTATTAATGCGAGCTAGCCAAATGGAGGCGGAACATTACAGGGAATGTTTAAAGGTCTGAACTTGAAATAGTTTTTAGGAGAATTCATCTACTTAGACTTCTCAAAATTGCCTGCCATATAAAATTGAAATGGTAGAATGGCTGACCACAACAGTGATGGGTCCACTTTTTAAGGGCCTGACTGATTTTTTTGGTCTTAACGCATGCTAGTGTTGATGTTTTTTGGTCAAGGGGGAATGAACAGGAAGAATTATGCAGCAGGCTTTATTTTAATGCAGATTCACATTACTCTGTTCAAGCTGCGTTGAAGTGTTAACTGGCTTACTGTAGACTTGTAAAATGGCTCCAGAAGAGTAACAAATTCTGAGATCACAAAGGTTGGAATGTACATAACTGCACAAGGTTTCAAATCTGCTATCAAGTGCAGTTTTAGTCAGTTTTAGTTGCATAGGTTTCCATTGTATTTAGTCTGTTATGCTGAATCTGGCCAAAGAAAAAAGTATTTCCAACAGTAAAATGTTTTTGCCACTTAGTTTTCTCTGACTTGGCTTCTGTGGTCAGAGCTGTTACCAATTCTTAAGTGGCATAGAACAACAGCAAAATCTCCTAAAGTGCAATAGATCTTTTCAAGTGTATTGTGCCTTGTTCTAAACTTTAAGTAGGTGCACTTGACAGTATTTGAGGTCATTTGTTATGGTGCTATTTCAATTAGTCTAGATTTAGGCCCTTGTACATTTTGCCCATAACTTTTTACAAAGTACTTCTTTTATTGCACATTCAGAGAATTTTATATGTCTTGTGTGCGTGTCCTTAACTTCCAATCTTATTTTGTCTCTTGGGAGACTGAACGCAGCTTGTCTAAGGAGAAGGAACTAGATTCTAAAACTTGGGACCATGGGAATAATGGTTGGGAAGAAAACTATTTGCACACGACAGATTTCTAGATACTTTTTGCTGCTAGTTTTGTGTAATATTTATTGAACATTTTTGACAAATATTTATTTTTGTAAGCCTAAAAGTGATTCTTTGAAAGTTTAAAGAAACTTGACCAAAAGACAGTACAAAAACACTGGCACTTGAATGTTGAATGTCACCGTATGCGTGAAATTATATATTTCGGGGTAGTGTGAGCTTTTAATGTTTAAGTCATATTAAACTCTTAAGTCAAATTAAGCAGACCCGGCATTGGCAATGTAGCCATAACTTTCTGATAGTAAACAAAAATTGGCAACTTTAAAATTGAACATGCCAAGGTTTTGATACACTTGTCTTAAGATATTAATGAAACACTTCAAAACACTGATGTGAAGTGTCCAGATTCTCAGATGTTTGTTGCGTGAGTTTTTGTTTAGTTGTGTGTTTTTTTTTTCAGTGAATGTCTGGCACATTGCAATCCTCAAACATGTGGTTTATATTTGTTGTATTGGCATAATCAGTGACTTGTACATTCAGCAGTAGCATTTTAGCAAGTTCTACAGCCAGCAATATTCTTCAGTTCAGATAATGATTCAATCATATGCAAAGAATGGATATAAACTTGCTGAGTGTAAAGGATTTGAACGTCAGGTCACTGTAGGTTTAGTAATTGCTTATTGTATTAGTTTAGATGCTGGCACTGCATGTGCTGTGCATTACTCAAAATTTTAATAAAATAAAAAGTTGAAATGTGTGTTATGCAGTGTGGAGTTTTTGTTTATTTTAGTGAAGTACAGGCAATGGAGTAAATTTAGATCAGTGAAGAACTGGTTTCATGGATCAGGCTTTTAATTATTTTTGATTTTTACATGAATGTGGAGCAGTGACTTAGAAACAATGTCCTCTCTAATTCATTTCTATATAATACACACTTCCATATTCTTTATCTCTGGCAAAGGTGCTAATCAAGAATAAGAACTCCCTAGTTTATGTAGAGGAAGGGCAAGGGGTCATAAGCCACATGCTCTGATCATAGTTCTTTTCCCAGTTTAACCTACAAAAAGCTCTTCTGTTTTGCTTGCTACCTTCTTTTCTTTACGACACTTCACAAGATACTGTGATTGGATATTTTGTGTCTAAGCCCACATCGTGTCCTATAGTATTTCCCACATCAGTTTAACAAAGGAAAGCTAAACGTGTTAGACAAAAGGAACTTTTAGTTCAGCAAAGCAAAACAAAATATATTGGTTAATACCAATTTTGGGATCAATAATTCCACAATAGTGTGGGTTTTCAGATTTCCCAGTAGGTAGTAAAAAAAAAATCCTTCACAGATTGCTGCCTTGTGGCGAAGGGGCTTGAGTAATTCAGAGAAGGTATGGGCTATGCCGTGCAGGGCCACCCAAGATAGACAGGTCAGAGTGGAGAGGTCTGACTAAACCACCTCCTGCAGTCCACTTGTAGCAGGAACTGGCAAGCCACTCCAGTATCTTTGCCAAGAAAACTCCATGGATGGGAACAAAAGGCTGAATTTGACCCAACTCCGGGAGGCAGGAGAGCCTGGTGTGCTCTGGTCCATGGGGTCACAAAGAGTCTGATATGACCTAACAACTAAACAATAACAAAAAAAATCCATTTCCATCCACAACCAACAAGGAATTTGTCTGAAGTAGAATATGTACTGCTGATAAGCTGCTTGTTGATTTACAGACACCCTATGAATTAATGATCTAAGTGTTCTGTCACCTAGAACCCCCTGCTCGGGTTTTCCAAATTGAAAGCTGTGGCTGTTAGATAAAACTTGCAGCTCTTTATTCTCACTTACTACAGTGCTATCTTAAATACCTTAAAAGTATCTCAGCTTCCTTGTGCTGTTAACTCATGCAATGGTCTGGCCTTCAGGGTTACCACTTTCTGGAAGTCATGACCTGCTGCTAGAGCATGACTTGTTCTTGTGGCAACTGGAATACAGTAGCAGCAGAATACAAGTAAAACTTAAATGATGGCTTTTCCCAGTTCCAGCTTTTTCTCCGCAACCAGCCTAATGTGTTTGTTGAGGTCTGTCCCTGCATTTCCAAGTCTGCCTGTAGCATTTGCAGAACAAGGCTAGTTTAAATAATGTTTAACAAGGTGCAAATTTTAACAACTTTTTCCCCAAAAATAACATAGGGTCTTAATTTTTGCTCCAAAAACCGCATTAGGGTTTATTTTCAGGGGATGTTTTCTTTTTTCATGTACAGCAATCTATGTTTGTTCAAATACGTTCATGTCATCTGGTTGCTGCACAATGGTGGAGGGTGGGCTTTCACTTAACAGGCTATTTTGGGTGGAGGGCTTATATTACGAGCATCCTGAAAAATCTTACTAGGGCTTATTTTCAGGTTAGGTCTTATTTTTTTGGGGGGGAGGGTAATTGTTTTCATCCCTACCTGTGAGTACTGCATTTAACTTACATATAAAGATTAGCATGTTCTGGGTCGTGCTTGTGTATGGAATGGACATTTTGTCTCCTAAACCTAGCACAGAGTTGCAAATGAGTTTTGCTGCTGTTGGATTTTACAATCAGCTAGCACTTTCTATTCTGCACCATGCCAAGTAAATTTTTCAAATGTACTTGCTCCTGCTGGAGTTCACAGAGTACCAGCTCTCTCACCCTCTTCCCTGACTTATCCCATGCATAAAGTGTGCAAATGAGGGTTGTCTGCTTCTCTAGAAATGATCTGCAAGCATTTAAACTCCCACCTCCTTTCTTGCTGGAACCAGAAACAAAAAAAACCCATATGTTTCACAGCATAGAAACATAATCCCACTACCCAGCCCAAAACCACGCTGCAAAACCCACCCAGAACAGCCAATTTTTAAAAAGTAGAAAGCAGCATCTTACCGAGCAGTCCACACTGACTGCACACACTCTTAACTGCTGGGGGGAAAGTGCTACAAAGAAGCAGCCTCTTCGCCACGAGCAGTTAGCTATTTGAATTCCCGCCTTTTTCCCCTACCTTTTTTCTGAGTGTAACTTGAAGCTTCGGTCGCAAGTACAGTCGTGCCCCGCTGGATGAATCTGCTTTAAGTTGACATTTTTGCGATTCCTTTTGCGATTGCAAAATGATGTTTTAAATGAGTTTTTTTTGCTGTGCGATCAGTTCCCTGCTTCGGGAACAGCTGATCGTCTGGTTTCAAAATGGCCACCGGCTGAAGAAAATGGCCCCCCGCTGTTTTCTAGGACAGATTCCTCGCTTTACAGGCACCGAAAATGGCTGCCATATGGAGGATCTTCACTGGACGAGCAGGTATTCAGCCCATTGGAACGCATTGAATGGTTTTCAATGCGTTTCAATGGATTTTTTAATTTCGTTTGACGACATTTTCGCTCTACACTGTACAGCAATTTCGCTGGAACAAATTAACATCGTCAAGCGAGGCACCACTGTAGAAGCAAAATTTTGCAGCCAGAGCTGGTTGTAACTCAAAATGTTCATAAGTCGAGGCACCATTGTATTAGAAGCCACATTTTCAAGATGGTTTCTAAGAGGATGGTTTTTAATATGCAGTGGCTGGATTTCAATCTATCCTGACTTTGTTCCATTACTATTGCCAGTTGATGGAGACAAATGCAAAGGTTATTGTAAAATGCGCTGCAAAACCTTTGAACTAAGTAATATGGGATTTAGAGCTGTGGAATCTCATGCACAAGGACCATTATGTCAGAAGAACCTGAAAATTAAGCCAGCAGTCCATTGCAATATATTTAGGTTCAAAGCCAAGTCATACCTCTATCAAGGCACTTAACATTCTCCAACCAATGACAGGCACACTAGCAGAAAAATCAGAGCACAACAATACACTACTTTAACCACAGCTGCCCACAATGATTTCAAGGCTCAATTTCAAGCATATGTTGAAAATAAAATGAAGTTGGTCTGGTATATCTTTTACAGTGGTATTTTGATGTCCAACAAAGGTTTCTCAGACCTGTGGACTGTTGTGAAAATGTGCCTTATCCTGTCTCATGGTAATGCTTCTGTTGGAAGTGGACTTTCAGTTAATAAGTCAATGTTAATTGAGAACTTGCATGAAGAAACTGTTGTCTGTCAACATCAGATTAATGATGCTGTCTTGGACTGTGGAGGACTTTAATCTGTTGTCATTGATAGGAATTTGCAGTCAGTCAGGCATACTTATGCACGCTACAGAGAACACTTGGAGGGAGGCTGAACACCATAAGCAGCAAGAAGAAATTCAGAAGAAAAAAGAAGAAACTTAACAGACAAATATCTCGAAAATGCTAAAAAGACAGAGAAGAAGTCAAATTGGAAGAAGAAACAATTGTTGAGAAATTAAGTGATAGTTTCATATCTTAAATCTTTATTCTGTAAAACCTTTCCTTATATTCTAATTTCTAACTTATCAGTGCAATTTCAAAACTTAAGTTTTGTAATGTGGCTTCAGAGAAACCATTTTAGATAGAACATATCTACCCTGTTTCCCTGAAAATAAGACCTAACCTGAAAATAAGCCCTAGTAGGATTTTTCAGGATGCTCTTAATATAAGCCCTACCGCAAAAATAAGCCATAGTTAAGTAAAACCCCGCCCTCTACCATTGTGCAGCAACCAGAAGATGATGACATGACTGTATTTGAATAAACATAAATTATTGTACATGAAAAAAAATCCCCTGAAAATAAGCCCTAATGTGGTTTTTGGAGCAAAAATTAATATAAGACCCTGACTTATTTTCGGGGAAACATGGTAATGTTTAGTGTACTTTTAAAACAATAACAAAAATTCGTTATTCAAGTTTACTTGAATAGAAATTTGTATATTGGTGTAATTTTTGGTACAGTTGCAAAACAGATGTTGCTGCAGTTAATGTTGAAAGAAGCTGATACTAAATCTCTTACTCTGACAAATATTTTTGCAGTTGAGTGATGTAGTTGTAGAGTGGAACATTTCATTAAGACTTGCACTAATGCAACATGGCCTATTCATTTTAAAACTTGTGGTTATATTTGAATGGTGGTCAAGGAATGTTAGGGAAATGAAAAATAAAATTTCAGTGGCAACCCTGCGTGTGTACTGGATAGAATAATGGACTAAAACTTAATTTACTTTGAAAGCCCTATTAGGATTGCTGTAAATCATGGGAGGAGAACAGTCTCCGATTGCTAAGGATACAAAAGCAGGAGGTGCTGTGCAGGCCACATTCGTCCTGTCTGCTGTTGCACTGCATCACCAACTGAAATTCCCCAGTATATATTTTTTTCATTCAGGGAGTGAGTGCTATATGGGTAGGAGTGGCTGTGATTCATACATTCAACCACAATATGAGCAGCTGCTGCAGCTGCCACCACTTCCACTGATTGTGGGGAGGGCTAGTTGGTTGCAGTTCCCAAATCAAGTTTGGGGTGGAATAGGCAGGTAAGAGTACCTGCTGCCCCTTCTTGACAATGGACCGTGCCAATAAGGCTTGACATTAAGAGTTATGTCTACATTGGTCTTCATGCTGCAACAATACCTTATTCTGGACAAGGAAAATAATGAGAGGAGGACAGTTCACGGTTAGAATGGTTTCTTATGTCTATATTAGACCTCTTCTCCAGTGAGTTGAGGGTACCATATAGACTGTCCCTGCCTGCTATGACCTTGTAAGAGAGGTTCACAAAGGTGGGGTGAGCCATGAGAGGGGGCAGGAAAGAAAGTAATTACCAGATTTTGGTTCCTTGAGGCTTCATAGCCAGACTTTATTCTCAATT